TTCACGATGTCTGGCAAATACAGGGGGCCACATACTGAACTATCGTTCTTTTCATCAAGCCAGCCATCTGATATATAAACAATGGATCTTTAATAATGACATAAACAATGTTTAAACAAATACTTTAGTCTCACTTGCTTTGCTCTAACAACTGACATGATGTTCAAACTTTGCTGATATTCATTTTCTGGACGGCGTAACATAGGCCTAGTGCACTTAGGCTCCTCCTCTTTTGTCCCCTTTGTAGCAAGTACACGGTCCGACAAGAACGGGCAAGAACTGCTTAACAGCTATGTTTTAACTTCGTCTAAAGATATAGATTGGTCACCTGGATCCATGGTTAATTCATAATGTGTTTATAATGATAAGATTCATATAAAAATGTTCTATAAAACGATATCAAAGAATCAGGAAATACGACGACAATAATGTTTACATCGTAACCAGAACGAGGCTACGATTTTTAACCGTAAAAGAATTTCGGGGGGCCGCTTACATCATCAATTAGCGAAGTGTTGATTCGTCTATTAATAAAAAAAAATAAAAAAAAAATAGACACGCGACCAAAAAAAAGGTATCTATAAAAAAATCCTCTCATCCCGAGACCTGGCAAAATGATAACCGTGTTATCTTAAAAGCAATATGCAAAATGTATCGTCGTGGCATTCAAATAGCATTGCTTCGTTGAGATTACAAACCATAAAAGGTCCCGATCCTGCGCATGCCCGACTCTGTAAATCGTTTGACTCTATCGGACATTCTAACCTCGACATTTATCTTTGAAATGGCGACAGAAAGGCTAATTGTGCAATATACTTATATAACAGCAACGGAAACAGTAGAACTTGACTTGTCTCATTTCCATAGAAAAGATACCATCAAAAAAAACGCACCGTAGCGTACATCTGCGACGTGTCAAAATGAAACTAAAAGTGAATCGCGGTCGTTCGGAACAACTTTTCATTGTTGTAGCGCCACCTATCGATCAACATTAGAAAAGTTTTCGCGGGAGTGGATGTCATGCAATCCAAGTCGTGTTGAAAGAGGCTTAAATTTGCTGTTAAGGTGAAGACACATGGCATCTTTGTGAGAACATTCCAAATGGCTATGAACATATTTTAATCTTCCTTAGAAACGGTTACTTCCAATGGTATCACAATTTACATTTTTATAGATAGAAACTCGTTAGGCCTAAAGGCTAAAGCACAGGGGTTCGTTACAAATGTCTGAAACTGATATGGGTCACAGCACACATAAACCTACACGGTATATGTGTGCTGTGACCCATATCAGTATACTGTTTATGTGTGCTGTTAGCCATATCTGTGTAGCATATGTGTATTTCAGACATTTGTAACGAACCCCTATGATCTGACGCTGATATAACTTACTTAATCTGAAACATAAACATCACTGCTGATAAAAATAAGAAGGTCACAGGTGGTGCTTGCCTTTGAAATACATGTATGATATAATATAATATAATATAAACCTGAATTCCGTGATAAATGATGTGCTACTTTTAAACATTTAAATATTTTAATGAGTTTTAGTGCTATCAGTTGTTACTACAATCATACCAGTACTAGATCTAGTTATATTTTACAAAATATGTGTTCAATACATATTTTTTTCTCAATTTGATTCTGTAAAATTTTAAGTCCACTCTTTTAACTTTAAGCACTGTATGTAGTGAAATTGATATTTATATCTTCCTTGAACTACCATGATGTGCGCATTAAGCAGACCTCGCTGGTATAGGGGGCTCCCCAACCCTTGGAAATTAACTTGCACCACATCATGAACTATAATTATATATTATGCTCATGTGATATTTGTTTTATTTTATGTATTGTGTTGGTCTTAACTTGTATCATATTTACTGTTATTTATATTTATCATGTTTGTCGAAATCCAAGCTTCTGAGAGCTTATGTTAAATTGTTCACCCTATTCGACGTTAAATAAAGCTTCTTGTATGTATTAATCTAGTACGTATGTGGACATGGGGTAGACACCACAAAGATAGTCTGTGACTAGCAAAATTTCGATCAGCTGGACACTATATGTATTTATGGTTCTACAAATTTCTAGCACAATTGTCTAAATTGTCAAAACTTTTAGTTGGTGGAAATTCCATATATGAACTAGAAAAATTGGAAACAATTAACGAAACTGACTAATGTTTTCAAACAATTTTTTTTAGCGTTGATACATTATCAGTGATTTAAAAAAAGGATTCTTTAATTTTATTAGCTTACCTGGCCGTCGGCCAGCCGTCCGTCCGTCCGTCCGTCCGTCAACTTTTCCTTTATAACGCTACTTGTCATGAACGACTCAGCAGAGTTTGACCAGTCAGAAACATCCTTGGGAGAAGGGAAACAAATTTTGTATTAATGGTGGGTCTGGCCCCCCTGGGGGCTGAGGAGCGGGGCCCAATAGGGGAAATAAAGCCAATTCTTTAAAATCCTTCTTCTTCTGTAGGAATGAAAGGATTTGGTCTGAAGCATTCTTGGGTGAAGGGGAACCAATTTTGAATAAACCATGGGTGTGGCTGCCCAGGGGCCTAAGGGGCGGGGCAAATAGGGGAAACATAGCAAATTATTCTTGAAAATCCTTCTTCTTCCGTTAGAATAAAAGGATTTGGTCCATAATTGGTGTGGAGCATCCTTGGGTAAAGGGAAACCAATTTTGTATAAACCGTGGGTCTGGCCCCCCTGGGGGCTGAGGGGTAGGGCCCAATAGGGGAAATATAGCAAATTCTTAAAAATCATTCTTCTTCTGTAGGAATGAAAGGATTTGGTCCATATTTGGTCTGAAGCATCCTTGGGTGAAGGGGAAGCAATTTTGTATAAATTGTGGGTCTGGCCCCCCTGGGGGCTGAGGGGCGTGGGCCCAATAGGGGAAATATAGCAAATTCTTTAAAATCCTTCTTCTTCTGGAGGAATGAAAGGATTTGGTCCATATTTGGTCTGAAGCGTTCATGGGTAAAGGGAAACCAATTTTGTATAAACTGTGGGTCTGGCCCCCCTGGGGGCTGAGGTGCGTGGGCCCAATAGGGGAAATATAGGTAAAACCACGGAATTAGATTTAAGTTATCTAAGTCTGTGGTAAAACCTTTATAATCCTTCTTCTGCCATAGGGATTAAGGGATATTATCCTAATTTAGTCTGGAGCATCCTTAGGCAAAAGGGACTCAATTTTGTATAAACGGTGTGTCTGACCCCTCTGGAGGCAGAGAGGCGGGGCCCAATAGTGGAAATAGAGATAAAACCTTTAAAATCCTTCTTCTACCATAGAGATTAAAGGATTTTATCCTAATTTAGTATGGAGCATCAATGGGCTAAGGGGATTTAATTTTGTAAAAGCATTGGGTGTGGTCTCCCAGGGGGCAGAAGGGCCGGGCCCAATAGGAGAAATAGAGGTAAAACCTTTAAAATCCTCCTTCAACCATCAGGATTATGGTTTTTTTTTTCCTTATTTAGTCTGGAGCATCCTTGGGTCAAGGGGACTCAATTTTGTATAATTGGTGGGTATGACCCCCTAGGTTGCATAGGGGTGATGCTCTGTTTGAAGTTTGTTCTCGTTATAACTCAATTACTGGATGGATCTTTCTGAAATTTCATATGTACTTACAGCACCTACTTCATACCAATTATTTTTAAACATATCGGGTGAGCGATACAGGCCTCTTGTTGAAGCCACTTTGATACCTTTAAGAACAGAGCACAGGGGCAAGGCACAGACTAATCCCCAACCCCTCCTTGCTTATACAGTATAATGTCACTATATATAAGCATATAAGGCGTGGCCATGGGACCCAGGGTGTTTGTCTGTGCCTTTTGCCCCTGTGGTATAGACTTGTATTTTTGTTCTCGGGTTAAATAACAATATATAATTCAGTTGAGTTAATAAGGTGTTTTGAAATGAACCAGGAGGTGAAACAGGAAAAAATCACTGACAAAGAACTGTTTTTAGCTCACCTGGTCCGAAGGACCATGGTGAGCTTACGCCATACCGCAGCGTTCGTCCATCCGTCATCTTTTCCTTTAAAACGCTACTAGTCATGAACGACTAAGGAGATTTTTGACCAAATTTGGTCTGAAGCATTCTTGGGTGAAGAAGATGTTTTTTTGGTATAATTGGTGGGTCTGAGGGGCGGGGCCCAATATGGGGAATATAGCTAATTCTTCTTCTATAGGAATGAAAGGATTTGTTCCATATTTGGTCAAAAGAATCCTTGGGGGAAGGGGAACAAATTTTGTATAAATCGTGGGTCTGGCCCCCCCTGGGGGCTGAGGGGTGGTACCCAGTAGGGGAAATACAGCAAATTCTTTAAAATCCTTCTTCGTCTGTAGGAATGAAAGGATTTGATCCATATTTGGTCTGAAGCATCCTTGGGTGAAGGGGAAGCAATTTTGTATAAATCGGGGGTCTCGTCCCCCCTGGGGGCTGAGGGATGTGGGCCCAATAGGGGAAATACAGCAAATTCTTTAAAATCCTTCTTCGTCTGTAGGAATGAAAGGATTTGATCCATATTTGGTCTGAAGCATCCTTGGGTGAAGGGGAAGCAATTTTGTATAAATCGGGGGTCTGGTCCCCCCTGGGGGCTGAGGGATGTGGGCCCAATAGGGGAAATACAGCAAATTCTTTAAAATCCTTCTTCTTCTGTAGGAATGAAAGGATTTGGTCCGTATTTGGTCTGAAGCATCCTTGGGTGAAGGGGAAGCAATTTTGTATAAATCGTGGGTCTGGCCCCCCCTGGGGGCTGAGGGGTAGGGCCCAATAGGAAATCCTTCTTCTTCTGGAGGAATGAAAGGATTTGGTCCATATTTGGTCTGAAGCATCCTTGGGGGAAGGGGAACCAATTTTGTATAAATCGTGGGTCTGGCCCTAAGGGGCGGGGCCCAATAGGGGAAACATAGCAAATTATTCTTTAAAATCCTTCTTCTTCCGTTAGAATAAAAGGATTTGGTCCATAATTGGTGTGGAGCATTCTTGGGTAAAGGGGAACCAATTTTGTACAAACCGTGGGTCTGGCCCCCCTGGGGGCTGAGGGGTAGGACCCAATAGGGGAAATATAGCAAATTCTATAAAATCTTTCTTCTTCTGTAGGAATGAAAGGATTTGATTCATATTTGGTCTGAAGCATCCTTGGGTGAAGGGGAAGCAATTTTGTATAAATCGTGGGTCTGGCCCCCCCTGGGGGCTGAGGGGTAGGGCCCAATAGGGGAAATATAGCAAATTCTATAAAATCTTTCTTCTTCTGTAGGAATGAAAGGATTTGATCCATATTTGGTCTGAAGCATCCTTGGGTGAAGGGGAAGCAATTTTGTATAAATCGTGGGTCTGGCCCCCCCCCTGGGGGCTGAGGGGCGTGGGCCCAATAGGGGAAATACAGCACATTCTTTAAAATCCTTCTTCTTCTGTAGGAATGAAAGGATTTGGTCCATATTTGGTCTGAAGCATCCTTGGGTGAAGGGGAAGCAATTTTGTATAAATCGTGGGTCTGGCCCCCCCCCTGGGGGCTGAGGGGCGTGGGCCCAATAGGGGAAATACAGCACATTCTTTAAAATCCTTCTTCTTCTGTAGGAATGAAAGGATTTGGTCCATATTTGGTCTGAAGCATCCTTGGGTGAAGGGGAAGCAATTTTGTATAAATCGTGGGTCTGGCCCCCCCCCTGGGGGCTGAGGGGCGTGGGCCCAATAGGGGAAATACAGCAAATTCTTTAAAATCATTCTCCTTCTGTGGGAATGAAATGATTTGTTCCATATTTGGTCAAAAGCATCCTGGGGGGAAGGGGAAGCAATTTTGTATAAATCGGGGGTCTGGCCCCCCCTGGGGGCTGAGGGATGTGGGCCCAATAGGGGAAATACAGCAAATTCTTTAAAATCATTCTCCTTCTGTGGGAATGAAATGATTTGTTCCATATTTGGTCAAAAGCATCCTGGGGGGAAGGGGAAGCAATTTTGTATAAATCGGGGGTCTGGCCCCCCCTGGGGGCTGAGGGATGTGGGCCCAATAGGGGAAATACAGCAAATTCTTTAAAATCATTCTCCTTCTGTGGGAATGAAATGATTTGTTCCATATTTGGTCAAAAGCATCCTGGGGGGAAGGGGAAGCAATTTTGTATAAATCGGGGGTCTGGCCCCCCCTGGGGGCTGAGGGATGTGGGCCCAATAGGGGAAATACAGCAAATTCTTTAAAATCCTTCTTCTTCTGTAGGAATGAAAGGATTTGGTCCATATTTGGTCTGAAGCATCCTTGGGTGAAGGGGAAGCAATTTTGAATAAATCGTGGGTCTGGCCCCCCCCCTGGGGGCTGAGGGGCGTGGGCCCAATAGGGGGAATACAGCAAATTCTTTAAAATCATTCTCCTTCTGTGGGAATGAAATGATTTGTTCTATATTTGGTCAAAAGCATCCTTGGGGGAAGGGGAACCAATTTTGTATAAACCGTGGGTCCAGCCCTAAGGGGCGGGGCCCAATAGGGGAAACATAGCAAATTATTCTTTAAAATCCTTCTTCTTCCGTTAGAATAAAAGGATTTGGTCCATAATTGGTGTGGAGCATTCTTGGGTAAAGGGGAACCAATTTTGTATAAACCGTGGGTCTGGCCCCCCTGGGGGCTGAGGGGTAGGGCCCAATAGGGGAAATATAGCAAATTCTATAAAACCTTTCTTCTTCTGTAGGAATGAAAGGTTTTGGTCCATATTTGGTCTGAAGCATCCTTGGGTGAAGGGGAAGCAATTTTGTATAAATCGTGGGTCTGGCCCCCCTGGGGGGTGAGGGGCGTTGGCCCAATAGGGAAAATACAGCAAATTCTTTAAAATCCTTCTCCTTCTGTAGGAATGAAAAGATTTGTTCCATATTTGGTCAAAAGCATCCTTGGGGGAAGGGGAACACATTTTGTATAAATGGTGGGTCTGGGCCCCCTGGAGGCTGAGAGATGGGCCCAGTAGGGGAAATACAGCAAATTCTTTAAAATCCTTCTTCTTCTGAAGGAATGAAAGGATTTGGTCCATATTTGGTGTGGAGCATCCTTGGGGTAAAGGGGAACACATTTTGTATAAATGGTGTGTGTGGCCCCCCTGGAACCTTAGGGGCGGGGCCCGACCCAATAGGGGAAATAGAGGTAAAACCTTAATAATCCTTCTTCTACCATAGGGATTAAGGGATTTTATCCTAATTTAGTCTAGAGCATCCTTGAGGGCAGAAGGGAGGGGCCCAATAGGGGAAACATAGCAAATTCTTCAAAATCCTTGTTCTTCTGTAGGAATGACAGGATTTTGTCCTAACTTGGTATAAAGCATCCTTGGGTGAAGGGGAACCAATTTTGTATGAATAGTGTGTCCGACCCCCCTGTAGGCAGAGAAGCGGGGCCCAATAAGGGAAAAAGAGGTAAAACCTTTAAAATCCTTCTTCGACCATCAGGATTAAGGGATTTTATCCTTATTTAATCTGGAGCATCCTTGTGCCAACGGGACTCAATTTTGTATAATTGGTGGGTATAACCCCCTTAGGGGCATAGGGGTGGGGCTCTGTTTGAAATTTGTTCTCGCTATATCTCAAGTACTGGATGGATCTTTCTGAAATTTCATATGTACTTACAGCACCTACCTGATGGAGTGCTATGGTAGCAGAATACAGTAGAAATGGCCCGACTCTGATAAACAAGGCACATGTCGAGGAAATGTAAACACAGCGGATTTACCCTACACAACACATGTATACATGTATATATATTTGTAAACTGCATTACATTTACAATACATATAAAGCACTGAGAAGTGTATAAACCTCTTTTTTCTATGTATGTCACTTGTGTGAAAACCATGGTTACCACATCAAAAATTACCAAAAAATGCCAAAAAATGCTATTTTTAACCCAAAATTTGACCCCCGCAAGTAGTAATTTTTTTCCTAAGCTCTGTCTGAAATTAAAGATTACCTACCTGGTTGCAGAATTATCTGGGTCGCAGTAAAATTGTAGAACTTGATTTTTTGCAATTTTGCGTCGTGTGCTGTTGTCAAAATTTTACCTCCTGTAAAGCTAGCTTTTCATGTGTACGCACCCTTTCGTATTATGGCCAAAATTTTATTCTCGAACCAAAGAAATCTTCTTTCTTTTTTACAAATGTGAAGCTCACATAGCCCACTTCATCATGCTTATACCAATTTTAGTACAGTTTTATTTTTATATTTTTTTTACATATCATTATACAGGGGTTAGCCATTTAACAAAAATATCACCCATGGCCACAACCCTCTACTGTACTCTGCTACCTATGTCTTTACTACATACCAGTTATTTTAAACATATTCAGGTGAGCGACACAGGCCCTCTGGGCCTCTTGTTTGGAAATTATGATGATTATTTTAACAATTATGATTACGTTCCGACTTTTAGACAACATGATTGCATGATAATTCTGTCCCTTTCACGAATACATATGCTGTATTTTGAGAACTCCATTTATTGTGACAAATTTATTTAAAAAGCATTTAATTCCAAAGAGACTTATACATATGGTGATGTTTCGTAAGAAGCATACTTAGATGGCTGGGTGTAAAGTTTGTTCTAATAAAATATTACCTTGACCCACTCTTGAAGCAATATCAGCAGGACCAGGGCAATGACAATTTTGCATATAAACTAACCAAGCAGTTAACTGGGATGAAAAATTATTATCAAGTTGGTTTCTTGACTTCAGGTATATTATTCCACCAGGCCGAGGTCCAGAGCAAGTAGATTTTATGTCAGGGTGAGTAGAAGTTTTCAATGTTTACTTGTTAGCGTGCAGGTAGATTCTGACTGGAGCCTATACAGGTATCTACAAAATATGCATGTGGGCAAATTATATTTAACCCTTTCATCCCGATGTAACTTGAATGAACTCTACTTTGCATTAATTTGGAAGAGTCCATTATGGTCTACAGTTGTGAAAGGGTTTAACTTGCAACACTCGCCTCACTTTTAAGGTCACAAATCAATGTCAAATGTATTTTACCTTTGAAAAGTTCTACATTAAACCAAGAGGTCCTGGTATTTGGTAACTGCATCAAGCTGAGGTAATTAAAGGCCTGTTAAGTTCGATTGTTAAAATGGATTACTTTGTACCACTTTCAAGGTCATACAAACTACTGGTGTTAAAACATTTAAACTGCTTCTGTTTCGTTTGTTGGATAATCAAATCCAAGCTCCAAAATTAAGGTTATCTATCTAGACTTTGAAAAAATGAAATATTTTCTTTAATGTAATTTCAGTTACAAACAACACAGAGGAACTTTCTTAGATCTTAATTAAATAGCCATAGTCCTTAATTTGCATCACATCAGTTAAAGCAAGATGGAAGTTGCTGGCTCGCAACATTGGAGACAGAAGGGAAATGGTTTATATGCATCTATCAAAGATGGTCTCAGTCCAGTATTGAAGCGAGACAGACTACAGCAAGCTGCTAACTGTTACTACAAAGCCCTTAGCACGGGGATCACGGAGGATGACAAAATGTCTGCTTCAAAAAACCTTGCCATGACAGCATGGCGCCGGGCCCAGGTGGAAGAAATCTCTTCCGGAACATTCACGACGGCTGTATTCTATTACAAAGAGGCCTTCAAGTACTTTTCCACTGCAGTGAGTCAAGGACAAGGTGTGAAACCAAACATATGGATAGATGATGTTAAGTCTTCAGCAAAAGTCTGCTGGGAAGGACTCAAATCTGGTAAATGTAGCGAGATGGACATTGATGATCGAATCAATGTTTATTACGATGTTGTTCAGGAAATCAAGATCAGTAACATTCGGGGTGGATGTTTTCTTGATATCGCACAATGCCATTTCCATATAGGGGTGACAGCTGTGGAGAAGGGGAGCTTTGAGCGTGCATTATCAGAGATGAGAAACTGTCATATGCCATTACACGAAGCTGTTGCAAGTGGAAAAGGGGAGGTAACCATTGAAAGAGAGGTAAAAATCTTGGAGGTTGATGTCTTTATGCACCAGTGTATGGCTGAATCGATGCAGGCAAGGTCTATTGGTAAGCATTTTAGCAATTTATAAGGGAATTGTGGAAAACGGGATCTTAATTTCTCAAAATTGGAAAAAAAAAAACTGCAAACCTACATGAAGGAAAATTTGAAATTTTGATAGATCATGATTTCAATGTATTATTGAACTGTTTTATCACCAACATTTGAAAATTTCAAATCCTCAGAGGCCTTATTTCTGCAATATCGAAACCTTTATTCACAAAAAATATCCTCCTTAGACTAAACTTAAGAATTCAAGAATATTTCACTGCTTTTCCTGCGGGACTCTTCAACTTTTTTACTTAATGTAAAATAGATCTTTTCACACTCTGTAATCTGTAATACAGAAAACAAATGAAGTATTTAAAAACATGGAAGAATTTTTTATATTTATATACTTGGCTTAATAAAATATTGGGGTAATACCCTTTAACTCATTCAGTTTTCACCCTGAAATTGAATAATGAACTAGGTATTCCAAACTTTGAATTGGAAGAGTTCAAATGTGTCTTCATGGGTGATTGAGCTAATGGACTGTATCCTAATTGTGGGGAAAGGTGAGTGTGTGTCTCATTTAATAAACCTAAAAGGGTTTAAAAAATCATTTTGATTGTTGATGAAACTTTCAGGAGACCAGCTGTACCACCAATTGACCATGGATGAGGAAACTCTCAATATGGATATGGCGTGGGAGGTGGTAGACTGGTACAAACTGGCCATTATTAGGACCCGGGAGGTGACAGAAGTCGAGTTAGAGGCCTTGGCCCTGAGCAGGCTGGGATGTCTATACGATAAGGTGCTAAAGATGAAAGACAAGGCAAAGCGCTACCTTATCAGATCCATGCAGCTGGCCCACAGCATGCACCCACGAACTTTTACTAACGTTGGTAAGTATGAACTATTTTTAATGATTTAAATTCATTCAGGACATTTAGGCCTGATTCTTCAAAATCTTGTTAGCCCTACAATAAGTTAATGGAAATATTTTGGAAAATAATACAATGTTGAAATAATAACTGTAATTAGGATTATTAAACATTTTTCTTGTAACAAGAATTATTCAAATTTGTGAGATCTGTTTGAGGCATGTATATTTCATTTCAAAATATTTAATATCTGGAAAATGGTAGCTTTAGAATTATATTTTATGTACAAAGGTTAAATACTGTTACAAGTGTGTATATATAGATTTGTACTGCAGACATCAATGGTGTTATTTCAGACTGGTTTAAAGAGTGTTCCGACATCCTGCAAGCGTATCAGCGTGAGACAGTGTCAGTTGAGGAAGAGGAGTGGAACAAAGAAAAGGAGGAACTAAAGAAAGAGATAAAGAAAGAACTTGCTGACCTCACCAAGGCGGAGAAGAAAGAAGACCTGGAACTGCTCGACTTTTTATACAAGTTAGTGTTTACCGTTTAGGCCCTCTATTGTTTTGTCTTCAATAATTCAGCAATCCTGTTATTAAGCAACTTCTCTTTGGGACAAACTTCCCAAATTATAATGAATTTATGATTATGCCCCGTCTAATCAAATAGATTTATCCCTCAGACCAGCAATGCTGGATGCATATTTTCAATTTTCTATGTGAATGGATTCAACTTATAAATCTTATTTTATTTTTATTTTTAATAAAAAGAAAACTACTGTTAATACTACAAGAAAAGAAATTGAAAAAAAAAGAAAACATGCATATACCCATATGTAAAAAAAATATAAAAAATATATTTGGAATCAATGATGTGTTCTGAGTAAAATGCTCTATTTCTGTGATTAACAAAAATGCATGGCATGAATCTACAAGTGGTTATTTTTAATAATCAAACATTTATGATCTGGAGTAAATTATTGCACCAACTACCCAACTTTGGTATAACAAGACCCTGATCTGAAGTGAATATTGCACATATCTTTATGTTGTTTATATTTCTTTGTGACTAGACCTACATGCACCTGGCAAGAAAAATCCAAACGAAATATGATAAGCCATTTTCTACATTACTGCTGTTAGGTATACATGGTTTACTTTGTAAGGTTGGTCGGGTGACGCAGTGGATAATGCACTTGTTTTTGCCAAGACGGCCGGGGTTCAATTCCCTGATCGGATGTGAAAAGATATGGGATCACCTAGTGTTGTTCCTACAATCGAAAATCAATCGATTGTACAGCCAATTCAAATTAGCCGATTGATACATTTCATAATTGATTAATCAGTTTAAATGTTGCATGCTGTTTTCTGTTGAAATCTTAGACAATTGCTAGTAGTAGGTTAAAACTAAAAGTGTGAAAGCATAAATGACTGTCATATGGATACATGTATACCAAGTCAGCCTTCGATTTTACATGGCAAAAATATGCTGTAAATCCCATTTCTAAGTGGTACACTATCATAATTACACATTTCAAATAGATTTACCAGAGTTTGGAATTCCCGGTTATAATAAATAACCATTTATTAAAAGTCTTCCGATAGTGGAATAAGATTTCCGCTTCAGACTCCAAACACTAGGGTCGCCATCCCGTCCTCTTAGTTTTTCTCCAGGCATTCCAACATTAAGGTCCCCCATGCGCTAACATCAGGGACAAAAATAGGGATGAATATCAGTGTCAATAAGATTGATTAATATAAGTCAAATAACTTGTTTCATGATTTTTGTAAAACTTTTAAAGGTTACTTTGTAAATACTACATCTATTGGTGACATATGGCCAGATATGGGGGTACAAGAGCAGTTAGCCCCTTCCATCGCATTCTCAATGAAGCTCTTTGAATTGTTGTTCAATATGTTTTAAGTATGTACAAAATATTAAATTTCACAGAATACCTGTGAGCTTTACGTGTTCATATGAGAATTTACAGCTTGAAAATTCAGCCAGTTATAAGTCACATTGTAGGGGACCATGCACAGTTGTACATTCAATAAATGCCATGGAGTTTTTGTTGATCGTTAAAACCTACTACTCATTCCTGAGACGATGTATTTATATATTTTTCAGGGAGTATCCACCGAAGAAACCAATCCACAAGAAATTCTTCAAGATCTCCATGGCTCCAAAAACCGATTATTCCCAAAAAAAGGAGTACTACAAACAGGCTGTGGTGAATTACCACCCGGATCGTGCCGACGTAGAAAAATATGGCAAAATCTGGAAGATCTTAACAGAAGAGATTACCAAGATACTGACAAACCGATACCAAAGGATGAAGTGATAAGTGTGGTTTTACACGGCAAAGCTGGAAATATCACCAAAACAAACACACAGATTCGGTATGGTGTAATTTTGAAAAAGACACTACATGAAATATATGTCACGCCTCTGAAGACAACAGTGGCAGCATTGGGACTTTTGTGGGATTTTATGTTCTTTTATCAACACTGTGTTCAAGAATCAGTCTTAAGCTACTTGATTCTTGAATTTGCTGTTCTATATATTATCTTCATCTTCAAAAAACCTTTAACCATAACTACAGCTGATTTGATTTTTTGTGTTATATAATATCTTCATCTTCAAAACTTTTTACCATAACTACAGCTGAACTTGTCATAACTATCAGCATCGGTTGCATATGAGGGAAACAATGAAAGTGATTGATTGAAATAACATTCTTCAAAAAATGAACAGAAAGTGAGAAAACACCCAACAGTTCTATAAAAGTAGAATTTTACCAAAAAGATAAACGTCTGAGATTGAAACTAACATTCCTGAAAGCTTTTTCCCAATGCTTTGAATTAGTTAGGTTAGCTCGTTGGGGGAAACAATGTGATTCAGTTACATAAGAGTGATGGATGGCAGTTCCAGCTGTCATTATTTCACGCTGAAAACGACGAATGACTTGGCATTTTATATTTTTCGTTTTTCATCATCTTTTGTGTTCGTATTCTAATAAGATTATGTTGTGTATTATCAGTGCTAGAAAGTAAGGGTGGCCTGATAGTCTGAGACGTGTGAAATGTGCAGATGGACTAGTGGTTCTAAAAATTGCTAGCCTGATGATTGACTAGCCTGATGATTGACTAGCCTGATGATTGATATTTCTTCCCCTGTTGAATAATATTGTGTTGGTGGAATTTCTACATGTACGAGCAAAAGTGGAATCTACTAGCCTGTTTGACAAGTGGTTTTTAAAATTAATTTCTAGCCCTGATATTTCATCCTTATCATATATTTTTAGTTTAGATTAGATGAGTTAACAGTAACTGTTGTCGACATGATTTTGTTTGTCTCTTAGGAGGACTAGTGGACTGTTAACATTTTTTTTACTTGGAGATCAATGTTCTGTGTTTTTATACGACGGTCAAATTTGACGGTAGTATTATGGTATGGCATTGTCCTGTGTTTTTATACGACGGTCAAATTTGACGGTAGTATTATGGTATGGCGTTGTCAATCCATCTGGCGTAAACTTTGTTTGTCCGGCAATCTCCTCCTACAGTATAGTATATCAGCTAACCACTCTTAGAATGATGCAGATCTTATTTCAATGTAAGAAAGTATATAACATTATATGGCATTCGACGGGCGTATTTTGTTCCACCCCGCGGTACTCTTGTTGTTATTATCTTTGTGTATTCAAGATAGTTTATTTGTTCTCATGTGTAAAAATATTTCCTAAACAACATTCATCATTTTCAATAACATCTCTTTTATTTCATTTTCACTTTGAACTGTTGTAACTAAGAACTAAGAACAACAATAGGACATATTGACATAAAACATTGGAGGTGACATTGATATTACACCATTGATAGTATAAACATTCAAGATAGACTTAGAAATTGACATCCCTCCAAGTGTTGATACATTTTGTAATGCATATCATGAACTGATTTGCAGTGTCAGAATTTAGATTTTATTTCAGCCTTTTCATGAAAAATGTTTAACTTGTTCACCTAACTTTCTTTTTTCACAAACTTAAGATAGGTTGATCAAATAATCTCTTATTTAACAAAGAAGGATAAATTTACAATGTTAAAAAGCTTCAAACACCAATTGTTGGATTTAAAACATCTCTTTTTTACAAAGAGGGGTAAATTTAAAATGTTCAATGTTACAATGCTTCATACACTATTTGGTGTATGTATAATGTAAAACATTGTTTATTTCAATATGTTAGATAACCGGGGTAAATTTACAATGTTCAATGCTTCAGAAACTATTTGGTTGATTTACAATGTAATACATTGCTTATTTCACAAAGAGGGATACATTTGCAATGTTCATGTGTTTCGATCCCTGCTTCAGAAACTATTCTGTAGTTTTACACAATACAATGTTTACACATGAACACAATTACTGCTGCTTGTCCTTTGTGATTTTAAAATTTAGGATGGAAACAGCAAGCAAAAAGTTAGGTATATGTATCATTGAGTGGTTTTAGGAGTGAGTATTCCCCCAATAATCTACAAGATGTATTATTGAGTCATTTTAGGAATGAGCACTCCCCCAATAATCTACAAGATGTATCATTGAGTCGTTTTAGGAATGAGCACTCCCCCAATAATCTACAAGATATATCATTGAGTCGTTTTAGGAGTGATCATTCCCCCAATAATTTACAAGATGTATAATTGAGTCGTTTTAGGAATGAGGGACCCCCAAATGAACTGCCAGATGTATCATTGAGTCATTTTAGGTGTGAGCAACCCCCAAATGAACTGCAAGATGTATCATTGAGTCGTTTTAGGAGTGAGCAATCCCCAAATGAACTGCAAAATGTATCATTGAATCAATTAAGGTGTGAGCAACCCCCAAATGAACTGCAAGATGTATCATTGAGTCGTTTTAGGAGTGAGCAACCTCCAAATGAACTGCAAGATGTATCATTGAGTCATTTTAGGTGTGAGCAACCCCCAAATGAACTGCAAGATGTATCATTGAGTCGTTTTAGGAGTGAGCAATCTCCAAATGAACTGCAAGATGTATCATTGAATCAATTTAGGTGTGAGCAACCCGCAAATGAACTGCAAGATGTATCATTGAGTCGTTTTAGGTGTGAGCAACCCCCAAATGAACTGCAAGATGTATCATTGAGTCGTTTTAGGAGTGAGCAACCCTCAAATGAACTGCAAGATGTATCATTGAGTAGTTTTAGGAGTGAGCAATCTCCAAATGAACTGCAAGATGTATCTATGAATCAATTTAGGTGTGAGCAACCCGCAAATGAACTGCAAGATGCATCATTGAATCATTTTTGGAGTGAGCAACCCGCAAATGAACTGCAAGATGTATCATTGAATCATTTTTGGAGTGAGCATTCCCCAAATAATCAACGAGTTGTATCATTGAGTCGTTTTGGGAGTGAGCAATCCCCAAATAATCTACAAGTTGTATCATTGAGTCGATTTGGGAGTGAGCAATCCCCAAATAATCTACAAGTTGTATCATTGAGTCGATTTAGGAGTGAGCAATCCCCAAATAATCTACAAGTTGTATCATTGAGTCGATTTAGGAGTGAGCAATCCCCAAATAATCTGCAAGTTGTATCATTGAGTCGATTTAGGAGTGAGCAATCCCCAAATAATCTGCAAGTTGTATCATTGAGTCGATTTAGGACTGAGCAATCCCAAAATAATCTACAAGTTGTATCATTGAGTCAATTTAGGAGTGGGCGATCCCCCAATAATCTACAAGTTGTATCATTGAGTCGATTTAGTAGTGAGCAATCCCCAATAATCTACAAGTTGTATCATTGAGTCGATTTAGGAGTGAGCGATCCCCCAATAATCTACAAGTTGTATCATTGAGTCGATTTAGTAGTGAGCAACCCCCAATAATCTACAAGTTGTATCATTGAGTCGATTTAGGAGTGAGCAAGCCCCAAATAATCTGCAAGTTGTATCATTGAGTCGATTTAGGAGTGGGCGATCCCCCAATAATCTACAAGATGTATCATTGAGTCGATTTAGTAGTGAGCAATCCCCAAATAATCTACAAGTTGTATCATTGAGTCGATTTAGGAGTGGGCGATCCCCCAATAATCTTCAAGTTGTATCATTGAGTCGATTTAGTAGTGAGCAGTCCCAGAAGCTTTCTTATCACCTCAGATGTTAGTGCTCAGTTTTGGTTGGATTGGTAATTCTTACATGTTTAAAACAAAAACACTGTTGTTTTTTTGTACAAGGTGAAACAACAGGTCTCTCTTGCGTAAGTTTGTCATAATAGTACTACATATATGATGACATGTATCTTTTCAGTTTTGTTATATTTTCAGATTTTATGTTGTTGTGATGTATATATGGTTTTTTTAATGTTGATGTTTTTAGTGCATTGGTTGTACATGACTTAGTGCTTTTAAAGAAGAGGTACACAGATCATTCATTGTAAAGACCAGAATGATTCTAGTACAAACCTGTCTATGAACGTTTCAGGATAATTTCAAAAAAATAATGTTTATCACAATTGTTGTTTCTAGTTTGTTTTTATCAAACATCAGTGCATAAGAATTGTACATCTTTTTTTATTTAAAAGAAATACGATTAATGACTGAACAGGATATTTTAGATCGTATTCTTTGCAATTGTTCACAATATGAATGTTAATTTTCATTATCTAAAGCTTATTTTGGTAGTTTCTGATATTGGTAAAATAATTCTGTTCATACAAAACTAATTTAACTGAGAAAACAGTATGTGAACAATTTCGTTTTAAAGTGAGTAGCTACATGTATCGAGAATAAGTTTTATGAAGAAAATAATTTAAATAAAGAAATCAGATGATGATGCTTAGACCTTTATAGCAATTTATTCACATGTGTTGCAAGCAGAAATATTATTCACGAGTTATTTCCCTTTACAGTGTTAAATTCCCATTTAGCAAATATTGTCTATGATAAGGACATACATATTTTTATCGAAGACAATACAAATATAAAACACTAACAGAAATGAGCAATGGATGATAAAAATTGGTCGGTATCAAGTCAATTTCTCGCAATTGCATAAAGTGAAAGTGTATTCCACTCCCAAAAACTTAAAAGAATGTGTTTTGATTGAGAAGGAAACAAGGTGTTAATCAAGTGTTGTTATAGACATGAAACATTTTAGATCAATATTATTTTAGATGTTATGTTTTTTGTAGAAAAGTTCATTTTACACATCAGGAAGATCAGTTGTAACGTTTTTGTTTGATTATACACATTAGAGGTTTTAGCACATTATACACTGGAAAAGTTGCCTATGAGAGTGGTTGTGTTTCAAAGCATTACACATTATGCACAGATTTAATAAGAATCGTAGTAAGAAACATTTTGGTTTTACCAATATTATTATTTTTCTTTACGTATAGATATCAGTTTTTACTGTTTTGCCAAAAACTTGCTAATTAAAAATTGATAAATAAAGCTGATCTTTTGTCCTTCAAACTTTCAAAATAAAAATGAAAATTAGAAAAGTTATAATTCCTAAACTTATCTTGTATTTTTTAGCCCACAAATATCTGATGATATTCAAATCGTCTGTAGTCGGTCAGTTGTCCCTTGTCAGTCGTCTGTCCTTAAACAATTCTTCTTATCGCTATTTTTCAGAACGAACTGAAGGGATCTTTCTCAAATTTGATATAAAGGCTCCCCTTTGTCCCTCTTTGTGCATGTTTACTTTTAAGACAGATCTGATAAACAAAATGGCCAACAGTGGCCATCTTGGATTTTGACATTAAAAGTTTGTTATCGCTATTTCTCAAGGATTACCAGTGGGATCTTTCTCAAATTTTATATGTAGGTTCCCCTTAGTCCTTAGCTGTGCAGGGCAACTTTTGAGACTGATCTAATAAACAACATGGCCGACAGGCAGCCATCTTGGATTTTGATATTGAAAGTTTGTTATCGCTATTTCTTGAGAAGTACCAGAGGAATCTTTCTCAAATTTTATATGTGGTTTCCCTTTGTCCTTAGCTGTGCAGGGCAACTTTTGAGACTGATCGAATAAACAACATGGCCGACAGGCAGCCATCTTTGATTTTGATATTGAAAGTTTGTTATCCCTATTTCTCAGGAAGTATCCGAGGGATCTTTCTTAAATTTTATATGTAGGCTCCCCTTAGTCCTTAGCTGTGCAGGGCAACTTTTGAGACTGATCAGATAAACAACATGGCCGACAGGCAGCCATCTAGGATTTTGATAGTGAAAGTTTGTTACCGCTATTTCTCCGGAAGAACTAGAGGGATCTTTCTTAAATTTTATATGTAGGTTCCCCTTGGTCCTAGTTGTGCAGGGCAATTTTAGAGACTGATCGGATAAACAACATGGCCGACAGGCAGCCATCTTGGATTTTGATAGTGAAAGTTTGTTAT